AGTTGTGTGTCACATTTGATGTCATCATCAGCTACAAGACTTGAAACTCTGTCCCAATGCCAATGGGATCTAGTGCATTATACTAAAAGAGCAGGGTGTCAGAGAACCTTGGCTCACCTACCAAGTGGTCCCAGAGTGTAAGGGGCACCACAAGTCCAATTCTGACTAGTCAGAAGAGCAAATTCTCAGAGGGAAGCAAAGTCACTGAGGACGCCACACCAGCTGACATGGCCTTCATTCAGGGAAAAGAATCCCATGGGGGAGAAAAGTAGAATTAAAAACTCTGCCATCTTTGAAATGTTGGCAAAACTTCCCTCCACCAGTGACCAGTGGCAAAGGTTACATATCCCCTCTGACCCCACTTCTTCTATAAAATGGGTGAAAATTTAAATTAGATGATACATGTATAAACAGAACTTGATGTATTTCTCATACTCCTTAGTGATTTCTCAATTTCTCTTCTATTCTCATTGCCATTCCATAGTCTCATGAGTTACTTCTAGTAAGTACTCATCCCAGCTGACAACAAGTATCCCACATCCATCCTCTCCAACCATAACCAGGAACTGGGGCAGCACAAGGTACTCCAAAACTAACACAAAACCTAAACTCTTTATTACTGACAACCCTCACTGGGCACCCTCCAAAGGTAGAGCCAAATGCAAAAGCCAAGATGCTGTGAAAGACCAGCATGGCCACAGACATGCAAACTCAGTCACACAATTCAGAGTGCCAGAGTCTCCAAGAACATGGTCTCCCTTTCTAATAATGCTGGTTCACTAAAATAAAGTACTGAAGTGAAGTCTGAGGTGACTGGTCCCTATGACTGACTCACACACCCATTATCCCTGGGAAATGTGTCTGAAGACTAGAGCACACAAAGCTACACAGTAAGCTACAAGCTCACCAATTAGTGCCAGGAAAGCTTGCACTAAATAGACCTCAGTCACACTCTGATGCTGCACAGAAGCACGTCCACCATACCAAAGCATTACAAACACACTATCTGCTGGTTACTTTTGTTAACTTGACATAAGCTTTTGTCCTGTGAGAGACGGGAACCTAACATGAGAAAATACCTCTATAAGGCTGCAGGCAAGCCTGTAGGCATTTTCTTAATTAGTGATGTGGGAGGGCCCTGACAGTTGTGGGTGGTGTCATCCCTGTGTTGTGGATGCTATAAAGATGACAGCTGAAAGCCAGGCAGTGGTGGCCCACGCCTTTAATCCCAGCACTCGGGAGGCAGAGGCAGGTGGATCGCTGGGAGTTCGAGGCCAGGCTCGACCGACAGCCTCCAAAACAATACAGAGAAACCCTGTCTCGTAAAACCAAAAAAAAAAAAAAAAAAAAAAAAAAAAAAGGATGACAGCTGAGCAAGCCAGTAAGCAACACTTGTCTATGGTGTCTTCATTAGCTCCTGCCTCCAGGTTCCCATCCAGTTTGAGTTCCTGCCTTGGCTTCCCTCAATGGACTATCATTCAGGGTATGTAAGCCTTTCCTCCCAAGTTGATTTTGGTCACGATGTTTCATCGCAGGAATATTAACCCTAAGACACAGCTACTCTTCCTTGCTCCAAGTTGGGGTCCGCATGAACAGAGACGTCATGGGTCAAGCATGTGGCATCTTGACTAGAAGACAACAGAAGGAGAGCACTCCTCCACATCAGGGAAGCACGTTCTTAAGAAGGCACTGTATTCTTTCCAAGCAGACTCCTGAAATTTTACATTTTAATACAGGCAAGAAAAAGAAGGGAGAGAAACAAGTACTCAATGTTTAATGGAATTGTTTTTGACAATGTACAACTTCAATGGTATGTTTTCTTAGAAACATGGCCCAAATCAAATGATGGATTTCCTAACCTTAACCTGGATGCCATGTGACCACACGAAATAGCACAATTTGGGTCACGAATGTGGTAAAGGAAACAACTAGAATCCCAAAGACTAGCAGTAAAGGACTGAGCCAATGCGTGCTTATACATGTTGACAAGCAACCATTTGCCAAGAGGTAGAAACAAGAAAAGGGTGAAAACCTTTCTCACAAGCTCTTCCGGATGAATGATTTCAAAGCAAACAACATGCCTAGCAGGTATTAATGAGCAGACCTTGTTCTCAGAGCATTTCAAGCAAAGTTAGTCCAAAAATAAAAAAGTGAAAATCCTTTCTCAGTAAATACTGTTTTTGAAATGCAGCAATAGAGATGAAACAGCTTTGCCTTATTATTCTGTCTTTTAATATTGTAACTCTATGAGTTATGTAAAGATAAATTCCAATCTGAAAGTTTGACATACTAAAAACATAGGCATCGTCCATAATTTCTTTCCAGTGAAGACTTTGAAAAGTTAAATGAAGATGGGGGTATTTACAGTACCCCACTTAAACTCTAAAAGACTAAATCTACACTTTTCAGTTTGTCCCCAAATCTAGACTTCAACTTCACACAAACACAATTAAGTTTGGCTAAATGAGGCATTGAGGTGGGGTTGGGAAGGTTATAATGGCGAAAGCTACTGACTAACATTGAACTCTAACTTCATTGGTTCCAAAAGCTTACTTCCAACTAGTGGAACAGGTCACGTTAGAATTAATTCTGTCAGAAAGTTTAAGGTGACACAAGCATCCTTATTGCTCACATTCACACATAAGATAGTAATTTCAGTTTGTTCACAAAGAAGCCTGGTTATTAAATACATGCTGTAAAGTCCCTACTAACAGTTCAAGATCACTCTCATACCCATACTTTTGATCCTCTCCCCTCCTGTTCATACCAGCCTCCAACCATCTGAACAATTATATCCCCAATCTCAAACACACTTTGATTCAGCATGTATTATTTAGGGAAGGGGTTAAAATTCTAGATTTACAATTTCAGACTTATTTTGAAAATGCTCATAACTAAAAATTTTATTCTCCTGTTCATAAATTTTTATCAGCAGGAAACAAATTATCTGCAAGACAAATAGAGCCAGAGTAATGGTCACTGGATTCAATGCAAGTCAACGACCATGGGAAGACCAAGAAAATCAAGACCCAGTCTCACTTTTTCATGAATCTGCATGTGAACTCAGTAGGACAATGTTTTAATTCAATCTCATGCTTTCTGAGATGTTCTGATGAGTCAAAATAGAGACCTGAAGAAAACATTCCAAACACAAACTTTCTTTCATATAACCATTTATCAGCTGAGGTGATGAGGCCTAAAATCTACTTGGTATAGAAGACAAGTCTCCTCAGAGGAAATATACCGACAGGATTCATTCCTGTGTAGGCTTTGGTAGAAAAACAGTTTCCCTTGCAAATGCTGTCACTGGCAAAGTCATTGGTTCCAGAACACACTGAAGCTGATTTAAGTTGGAGGGCACAGGGTGACTAAGGTTTCAATGGTTTCTTGGTGTAGCCAGTGAGGTAAACACTAATGGTAGTCAGTCAGTGAGGTAAACAGTGAAAGTAATCAATCAGTCAGGCAGTCAGTGAAGTAAACAGTGAGGCAGACAGAAAGGCAGTCAGTAGGCAGTGAGACAATCAGTAGGCATTCAAGTAGACAGTGAGATGGTCAGTGAGAACAGCATTGACAATCAGTGAGATAGGTAGGTAGTGAGCTAGTCAGCAGTGAAGGTAATCAGTTTAGTAAGGCAGTCATAGTGAGGTATTGAATAAGCAGACAGACTCTGAGACAGTCAGCAGACAGTGAGACAGTGAGGTAAACAACTCCACAGTCAGTCAATTAGGTAAGCAGTGAAGGTAATCAGTGAGGTAAACAATGAGACAGAAATCGAGGCAGACAAAGAAGATATCAAGGTAAAGAGAGAAGGTAGTCCGATGATGCAACCAGTGAAGCAATCAGTGAAGTAGTCAGATGACAGGGAAGAAATCTAGTTGGTGAGCTAGTGAGGTAGCCAGGCAGTGGAAAAGGTAGACCGTGAGGTAGTCAGTGATGTATATTCTGTCACTAGAGTAGACAACGAGGACACCCAGTGGGGTAGCCAGTGAGGTAGCCTGTCAGTGGGGCAGTCAATGAGAGTAATCAGTGAGGCAACAGTGAGGTAGTCAAAGGGGTAGACAGTGAGGACAGCCAGTGAGGTAAAGAGTTAAGGTAGCCAGTGAGGCAGTGATGTAAACAGGGAAGCTATCAGTCAGTGAGATGGACAGTAAGGTAGACAGCAATGAGGCAGTCGGTGGGGTAGCCAGTCAGTGAGGTAGGCAATTAAGGTTCCTTGGCAAGTGGTTTCCAGAGATCCACCTGACACACTAGGACTTTACAGAAGGGGGGGAAAGAGGTCTAGTGGGCAGAAATGTAAACAGAAATCACACATAGGCCTGGCTATTAAAAACAGAATAGGTGCCCAAGTGGCTCAGTGATTTTCCAGAGGTGAGAGTTAACATCAAACGCTTGCTGCCATTAGATACCATCTCATTTTTTCCCCTGTCACTGCAAAAAGGGCACATCTATACCAGAAAAAAAAAAAAGTCATTTTTCCTTCAAGGAGGGCAGAGGTGTGGAGCCGTTCGCAGGGGCTGGGGCTGCAGGAGGAGGAGGGGCGTGAAAGAAGGAGTGCTTTAAGGAGAGGCCCCACACCGGCCACTGCAGAGAAAACGGGAGGTGGGGGAGAAAGGAAATGTCTCTCGGGGAAGGGGGGGGGGCAAGGCCGTGTGCAACCGGCTGGAGGAAGCCAAGTGCCCTCCAGGATGCGAGCTGGAGTGCAGAGAGCGAGCGCCGGTTACCTTGGGACACGGGGAAAGGGGCAACAAGGATGGAGGTCTGCAGAAGAGGGAGGGCAGACACAGGGTCTCCTCCAAGTACGACCCAGGGAAGGAGATGGGCAAACATAGGGACCTAGGGCCTCCCCCGGGCCAAAAGGCGTGGCCAGGCGTCTTACTGACCGTCGGGAGAAGCTAGGACAGCGCGCGGCTACCCGGCTCAGCCCAGCCCGGCCCGTCCGAGGGGCCCACGCACGGCCGCAACCCGCCCCCCCCCACACACATACCCCGCAGTGCTCTTACCTCCACACCTGCCCCATCTGCAGCAGGTGGATGACCGACTGCCAGATCCACACGGAGAGGCGGCACAGACGCTGCGCCCCCGGGGTGGCCGAGCCCCCCGCACCCGGGCCGCCGCGGGCCGCGCCGTGGCCGTAGCCGGCCCCCATCATTGGGGGTCCCCGGCTGCTGAGCCCCTCCACGGCGCCCAGCCCGCCGCCCGTGTAGTCCTGCACGAACCAGCGGAAGCTCAGGCTCTGCACCAGCAGCGACGGCACCAGCACGAAGAACAGGGTCAGCCCGAAGCAGCCGTAGTCCCCCTTGCGGTAGTAGTCGAGGGCCAGCCACAGGTCGGTACCCACGTCCCCGAAGAACACCAGCAGCGCTAGCACGATCCACAGGCAGTCGAGCCACGGCCGCTCCACCTGCGGCGACGCGGGCTGCGGTCGGCCGGCCGAGGGCGTCGGGGGGTGGCGGCCGGTGGCCCCGGGCGGCTGCAGAGGCTGGTCCCCCCCGTCGGCGGCGGCGGCGCTGCGGCGCGGCTTCTTGCCCAGCAGCGAGCGCAGGCAGGCGGAGCGGCAGCCCCAGTAGCACGAGGAGGTGTTGCAGCAGTGGCAGATGTGCAGCGAGCTGCTCTCGCCGGGCTCGCTGCCGTCGCCGCCGCAGCCGCCTCCCCCGGGCTCCCCGTCCTCCTCGCCGCTGCCCACCGCCTCGTCCAGGTTGTGCAGCTGGGCGAAGCCCACCCCCACGCCACCGCCATCGGATTTCGCCGCCATCTTGACTCTCTTCCCAGCTCCGGAGGTTGGGGGGGAGGGACGGGTGGGGGGGAGAAGGCAGGGACCGGGGAGGGGGGGAACGAATGGAGAGGAAGGGGGGCGGGGAGGAAGCGGGGGAGCAGACGAACGGGGGGAGTGGGCCAGGGAACCCCCTCCGCTTCCGGGCGGGTGGCGTCACTTCCGGGCGAGCCCCCCAATCGCACGGCGCCCGCAGCCTCCTGGCCCTACCCCGCCGGCCAAGATGGCCGCCCTCCTGTGCCTCAGCTGCTGGGCGGGGGACCGGGGGGTTCTCCCCGCCAGGGCTCCCCTTCCCCTCTTCCGTTGACCCCGAAACCCATCAGGTTGACCCCTCGGCGTTTCAGAATCCCGCTGGGCTGAGCGAGGCGGTCCAAAGTGTCCCCTGGAGGAGGCAGTGCCAGACGTTTTGGGGTCCCCTTCCTCTGCGTTGCAGCTCTCAGCTTTGCTCTGGGAGAAACGCCCCCTAACACCCGGCCGGCTTCTGGCGGAGGGGCGGGACCTCTGAGGGAAGGGGCGGAGCTAGTGCAAAGCAGGTGATTACTTGTCACTTCCGGGAGATAGGATGACCTCATTGTGTAGTTAGGCCCCCCCTCCCCATAACTGTGTCTCACCTCTTGGGCTGTTTTTCTTTTTTTTTTCCCCTCTTACATCCGTGTTATTTTCTTATCTTGTGGGGGCTCTAAATAAAATTACATAAGTCAGTATAGATTCCACAGACTTACTGATTGTCATGGTTTTAGGCACCTTTCATCTCTATTGACCTCCTGATTTTCCTGTCACTTGATAACTTTTCCATCTTTTGTAGTAAAGTTTCCAATGTTTCCTCAAGAAAATTCAGGACAAATCTAGCTAGAAATCAGCTTGGTTGCCTCTTTCACATTGCAGCAAGCACTGAATCTTGTGACCTTGAATGTTTTCTGTACAATCAAACGTATTTCTACAAACCTTTTTTTTTAGTGTAATTTTAAAACTCTGTAAAGACCTTCATTTGAAAAGAGCTTAAGCTGTATGCATCAATTACTTGTTCAGACAATTTGAATGTGTGAAACTTGTCTTTGTGAGTTTTTTAGGAGGTGCCAAGGCTCTGTTAGTAAACATGGCTTTAAGTAAGTGAAAATGTTATTAATGTGATATATCATTAAAACAGGTGCAGAATACACTATGTAAACTTGGCTAACAAATTGCACAAGTGAGGCAGCGCTGAATGGATTTGAATTACAATGCTCTTTCAGTGGAAGACACAGCAAACTACTTGGTTGTTGCTGATGAGTTGAAATGAGCATTCTGAAGAGAAAAGAGTGAAAGGAAAGCACTGGGGTTTTCTCATCAACCTCTGTAGATTTTTGAACCCACTTTTCTTTCAGTAAAAAATGTAATAATGGCAATAACTTTTTCAGAATGCTAAGAAGACAAATAGGTAATATGTTTATAGTATTGAGGTTCTGCAGAAAAGTTACTTTGACAACTTGAGTAGTTGCTTTGATATGATATTTAACACTGTAGGAGCTACTCAGGTTTTGAGAGTGGCTGGGAAAGATGAGACTACCCATTGTAGAACACAAGTTTTCATGAGTATATAAAGACTGTAAAACCCTATAAAGACTGAAAAACTGAAGAGGATTTTACCTGTACATTAGAGAAAGTGATTCGAAAATCTACTTTTTGAAAGAAACCACATAACTGCATCTTTTACTTCTTACTATAGTTTAATCCTTTTACTTTCTAGGGTAATAAAACAGAACTAACAAGTAAAAATTATTTCTGTATATAGATGAGAGGCTTTTTTACTGGATTTGAGATAATAACTCCTTAAATGCATGTGTTGAATACACTTGCTCAGACTTAAATTCTAGTTCCATTAAATTGGTAACATATGAATTAACAAGATTATCTCTTTAGAACCTCAGCTTTCACCTTTATACCATGGTAATAGTAACACTCCCTTCTTTGAAAATGTAATAATCTTTTCAAAGCTCTCAACATGACACCACATAGGTACTAGGCAATAAATAGATAGTAACTGGCTGTGTTACTGTTGCCATTATTGTTACTGTTATGTTTGCATCATGCCAACACGTATCTACTTAAACTCCATGAAATAGATTTGGGGATCTAATAAAAGAAATCATTTTGAAATACTTCCAGGAAACAAGTTGCAATTAATTTGTAATTTTAAATATATTTTCTTTATTTAAACTGTGGGGCTATGAAATGGGATACAAAAGCAGGCAGTAATAGCATATTTATGATTCTTATTTCTCTGTGCTCTGAAAAAACAGAGTCTGCTGGTGAAATTAACTAAGTAAATTATACATGCTAAGGCTGACAAAGGAGCCTATGAGTCAAAAAGTGTCACAATTGAAATTTCAAGTAAATAAATAAGATTCAGTCTTTTCAAGTGTTTTCAACTTTGTAATTGCTGGGTCAAAAATTTTATCATTCTGTCTTTTTTTGGAAAAGGGAAATATATTCTCCAATCCAGAGGGTTCTAAAAAGTAAAGCCAGCTACAATGATAATAAACCTACTACAGAGACTTACTAAAAGATTAATATGAATTTGGACTGTTCTATGAAGGATACTTTTTAACCTATAATTATTTTAAATCAGTTAAGTTTTTTGTGTATTGGTTAAATTTCTTGATATTGAACACATGGGCACTAAGTAAATGAAGTTGATGACTAATTTTATGAGTAACTAAGATTTAAAATTGAGGGTCAAAATTATATTTTATATCTTATGTTGTAAATATTCATAAAATCATTGGTGTGTTACAGAGACATCTCAACCCTTTATTTAAATTCTAGAGGGAAGAGTAAGTAAAAGTACCTCATTGGCCTGCTTTCAACATGCAGAGAGATAGGTAACCTTTTAATTTGAGGTCTATGACTTTTCTATTTTGATATTGAGAATTGAACTCAAGGCCTCATACATGCTCTACCACCCACTTTCACCTAGTCAGTGTTTCCTGTTCTTGTTAACCTTTTCTTGACAGCTTGGCTAAGCATCTTTATTATTATGCTAGTGTGACTTTTTCCTAATCTTTTTCTTTTAACCTTTGCTTTCTGTAATTCAGTTAGTTAACGATTTGACCCTATGCTTCTACTACTATGTAGAATGAAAGGCTAGACAACACATCATGTTCCAATTATATACATATATATATAAAGTCATTCTAAATACATTCTTTTTTTTAAAAAGAATTTGTCTGATCTCCCTGCATGTATGCCTGCAGACCAGAAGAGGGCACCAGATCTTCTTACAGATGGTTGTGAGCCACCATGTGGGCACTGGGAATTGAACTCAGGACCTCTGGAAGAGCAAGCAGTGCTCTTAACCACAGAGCCATCTCTCCAGAGCTTTTATGAGTATTGTAAGGTAGTTTTAGTGTATGGAAGTTGTGACATGAATCCTGTTTGGAAGCCCTTGGGGTTTCCTTCTTAATTCTTTGCTATTTTCAGAAAGGCAAAGAAGAAAGTTGATGTTGAAGCCTATTGTATATTAAACACTCACCTAAATACTGCAGCAGTCCCCAAAGCCTCAGGAGTTCCTTCTCTATCATAGTCAATTCTGTTAAATACCCTATGCCATAAATACTAAACACTACAACTGCCCTGGTGCATCCCACAGTGCCACCCCCAAAGGACATCACATCACTCACTATTAGTTATAGGAAGGACCCTGTTACATTGAAGTGATGACACATATCTAGGAGACAGAACACTTGAATTCCAATGTGGGGGTTGAGCCTCAGCAAAACCTCTCGGAGGGACTTCTGCATGCATTTTTCACATATTTGTAGTCTATATAAGCTTCTTAACAGTAAGTATATACCCCCGTTATTCTGTGCCTTCCATTTTACTGACTTCTATAGAAATACAACTTCTTTCAGAACTACAGAGTAAAGTCATAGAGCCTAATATTTTGACATTTGATGTTAAGAATTGAAGTTTAGGTTGGAGAGATGACTCCACATTTAAGAGCACTTGCTCTTGCAGAAGACCCGGGTTTGTTCCCAGCACCCATACCAGGTAGTTCACAATCACCTGTAACTCCTACTCCAGGAGGTCTTGTACGCTTTTCTGGCATCTGTGAGCATGTGCACCCATATGACAGACTCACACAGACACATTTTCACGTGCATACACACACACACACACACACACACACACACACACAGAGAGAGAGAGAAGTATAGTTGCTGATGTTATAAAATGGTGCAAAATCCACCTTCCGAAATTTGCAATTACCCTCTGAGACAATAACATTTCTTATGGAAGTTTATCCTATAGATAAATATGTACATGTCAGAAAGTACAAATAGGGCTAGAGATATGACTCAGCAGTTAAGAGCACTGGATACTCTTCTAAACATCCTGAGTTCAAGTCCCAACATCCACATGGTCGCTCACAACTGCCTCTAACTCTGCTTCCAGGAGGTCTGATGATCAGTAAAGTCATGAGGCTTACACATGTACACACACACACACACACACACACACACACACACATATATATATATATAACACCAATGTATGTAAAATATTTTTACATTTTTTATTTTTCAAAATTTTATCATACAATATATTTTGATCATATTCTTTCCCTTCCCCCAAGTCCTCCCAGATTCTCCTCACTTTTTTACCTACCCAACTTCATTTCCTTTCTCTCATTATGAAAACAAAAATAAAAAAGACAAAAAAGAAACCACCAAACCATAACCAAAAAATGCACACATAACTTATCTAGTTTCAAATTCTTGGCTTCATTAACTTTGGCAAATGTGGGTTCCATCTCATAAAGCGGTGGTTGGTTAGTCCCATAACATTTTTGTCACTGTTACAGCAATATATCACAGTCATACATATAGACAAAACACCCATGCACAGAAAATAAACTTTTAAAAAGACAGTATATTCATATAATTCAGTCCTTCATGTAGCACTTTATAATTACATGAAATTATGAAAGGAGTAAAAACATCCAAATGTCAATTCAGAGGGGCAACTATTAGATACATTGTGGTGTGTGTGTCACAGTGTGATGTGGTGATGCTGAAAA